ACCCTCCCGCTTGCAGACCCGTTGCTCTCAAGAGGAGGGTCTTTGGGGCCGGCGACCGGTGGGCGGGTGGCAGAACTGCCGTCGTAGAAGAAGTAAAGGGACTCTTCCACCCCCAGGTTCCATCCAGTGCTCTGGATTATGGGTTCACACTGGTGGGGGGGGGGGACGTGGAGGTAACTGGTGCATTCCTGTTAGTTTGCGCTTGCGTCCCCTCGTTAATTCATTCTCCTCCTCGACCAAGAGTGAAAGATTGCTCAGGCTCGACCCAGTCTTTCTCACGGGATCCCTTGAGGACAAAACGTAGGAAGAGAGAGCCACATGGGCCACCTTGGCGGAATGAATGGCAGGATAAGAGTGCACTAAAGACAGACATAAAGAGATGCCCCCCCCCCTCGGAGCAGTGTTCCCTCTAAGCTGAGTTAGTGTGAGCCAGCTCACAGTGTTTTAGCCTCTGGCTCACACAGTTTTGTCTTAGCTCAGGTAGGAGGGCTCCAGAGCAGACTAATTCATGCAGCAACCAAATCGCCCGCTCACAACTTTAATGCCAGTAGCTCACAAAGAAGAATTCTTGCTCACAAGACTCCACAGCTTAGAGGGAACATTGGCTCGGAGGTTTCTCTGACCCCCCCTCTGACCCCAGATGTGTGCCTGGGGGCTGGCTGAGATGGCGACATTAAAAGGCACGCTGCTCATGCTCAGAGTCCACAAGACTCTTGTCCTAGTGGACAAAGCAAGCATGGATCCTCCTGGCTGCTCTGGGCAGAGGGCTGTGAATTCCTCCCCCTGCAAGAAGCAATTCCGCCTGCCGTCTGGTGCTGGAAATGTGCAGATAACTTCTATCAAATATTTAAATTAAGGACTGGATTGTGTGTATCAGAGGCCAGGAACCAGGACGTGTATGTTGGGGCAGAGGTTGGGATGAGATGCCACACATTCCTCACCTTGGGCTGTCAGCCGTGCACAGATGCGCCAACTTTTCAGTCTCCTGACCTCCATTTCTTCAGTGAAACAGGTTATTGCTTACAAAAGCTCTCTACGGAGTGGTGTCACTTCTGGCTCTCATAAACCCGCTTACTTAGAAGTAAACTCCATGGGGAACAAATCCTATGCAGGATCACGCCCTTCTAAGTCAATGGGCTTTTAAAGGTATAACCCTGCAAAGGGTATAACTCTGCATAGGATTGCATGGGAAGAGAATGGGCTGTGATTTGGAAGTTTCGCTTCAAATCTTACGTCAACTGTGTGTGGGGGGGACCATTAGGTAGTCTAACACTAACCAGTCTCTCTTGGCGTCACATACCCACTCAGGGGATAATACGCCTGACCTACCTTACGGGATTGTTGTAAGACAATGGATGTGAAATGCTTTGACCACTGAAAATGATGTTATAGAAATGTTAATTATTATTCTGTGCAAGGATGGAAGAATGGATGGAAAGCAGGATGTTGCCCCATGGCTGCCGCTAACCTGATCGCTGCCTGGAGAGCCGGATTCCTGGCAATTCTCTGCACGCCTCCTTAAGCTCTATGCACGCAAATGTTTTTTGCTCCTATTGGTATTTGAGCTGAGCAGCTTCTCCCAAGCATGATGTCTCATAAATAGATCCCATACAGCTCGGAAACAAACCCCACGACAATGAATGCGGGGCCTAATTGCACCAATGCTCCCTCTAAACTGTGGAGTCTTTTGAGCAAACGTACTACTTTGTGAGCCACTGCCATTAAAGTTGTGAGCGAGCGATTTGGCTGCTGCTTAAATTAGTTTGCTCTAGAGCCCTCCTCCCTGTGCTGAGACCAAAATGTGTGAACTGGAGGCTACAGAACTGTGAGCTAGCTCACACTAACTCATCTTAGAGGGAACACTGGACTGCACTCTTACTCCCTAGGCAGTGCATTCAGAATAGCCGCCTGAAATGGAAAAGGCTTTTCATTAAATAATGAGGATGATAAAGGGTCCTTAGCCTTGCTTTCCCCCCTCTGTTTCCAGCTAAGCTTGTGGGTGGGTCTGCGGCCAGCACAGAAACCAGCCAGCAGCATAAAGGGTTAATGAGAAAGCCAGAGGTGGCAGGGATGAGAAATCCTGCACAGACTGCAGGGCACCGCTGGGCGCTGCTGCAGGCACTTGTTTAGAAAAGCCGGGAGGGAAAAGATGCCTGCGGTCTGGGCTCTCCTGTTTCACAGAGCCGGCTGCCCTTAGTAGGTGACTTTCTACAGTACAAAATCAGGGCCAGAGCGAAAGGTGTGTCTGGGGGGTGGGGGGGGGGGGCCATCAGCAGGCCACAGCTCCTTGGGAGAAAACCTAAAATGCACAAAACATAGGACTCGGCCTCAGAGGGAGTCAGAAACATCAGCCCACTGAACGGAGGAAGATTCTTAATTCCTCATCCCCCACCATTTTGACCTGAAAACCACCATTTCCATTCTGCACTGTTTTGTGTGTGAATCGGATCCATCGTATGTATCAGTGATGTACATTGGATGGTATCAAGAGTGTACTCAGTTTAAAAAGTCACCTGCATTGTGTAAAAACAAACACAACACGCACATACCAATACAAACAAGCTGACAGAACCAACAGTGGAAACCAGAAACCGACAGTGGAAACTGAAACAGCTGACAAAGATATAAATGAATATTAAAAAAACTTATGCTCAGCATTGCCTACTCAGACTGGCAGCCGCTCTCCAGGTCTTTCTCAGCACCTGGAACCAGAGATCACTGGTTGACTGGAAATGGCGAAGACTGAACCCGGGACCCTCCGTGGACAAGGCGGGTTTTCAGCCACTGAGCCACAGGACTTCCCTGGAGGCCAGGCAGATCCCTCTGAGAAGCTGGCAAGTGAGGCAACAAGCCCTGGCACCAGTCTCTGGCGCTCACAGGTCATGAATCGGGAACAGCCATTAGCCGCGAATAGATCTCTCTTCTGAGAAGTTATCTAGTCTTTTGTAAAAGCCTCTAACCAACCTGAGACCCACTCCTCAGACATCTGAGAGGAGGGGGAAACCTACCTACACACAGAGGTCATTTCAAGGGGGATCGCGGGGGATCGCAGTTCCCCCGGGTGAGGTACGGGGGGCGGGGCACATGACGAAGCCCCGCCCCCTGCTTCTGGCCGCCGCCTCACTTCCGGCCCTCATTCAGCCAGGAGGAGGCAGGAGAAGAGGGAGGGTAAGTTGCTTCCTCCCTGCCTCTCCCCACCCCTGCCTGCCTGGGGCCAGGGAGGGCCTTCGCGGGGCTTCCTTGCACTCCCGCCGGCCTTGTAGGTCCACCGCCGGGCCCCTCATGGGGCTCGGCAGTGGAGCTGCAAGGCCGGCAGCAGCGGCCGGGACCGTTGGGGGCGGGGTGTGTGGCCTTATAACACACTTCCGGTGATGTCAGGGGGTGTGGCCTTATGACACACTTCCGGTGATGTCAGGGGGTAACGACCCCTGCCTACATGCAGAGAGGACCCTTTGCACAACTCCCCGGACTTGGCCTCCATGACCATCGTCAAGGGCTCCGGTTAGCAGGCTGGGAACTGCACCCTGTGGGGCAGAAGGGAGCTGATCCGACCCTCCAATAAAAAAGAAAAACCCAAATCCTTTGCTGGGAAGGCTGGCAGGACCCTCCAGGGCCTCTCATCTTTTTCTGATCTGCTGGGACAACGTGCCAAAGCCACATTCTCGGTGGTGTGAATCTAGCCATGGTCTTTCCCAAGTCCACCAGGCATCTGGAGCCGCCGCCACCACTAACACCACTGCCGACAACTGATAGTTGAGGTGAGAGCCTTGTTTCCTTGGAATCTTTATCTATAGCCTATACGACCCGCTGGAAAGACAACTATAGAAGATCGAAGAGCCGGCTATGAGGAAACAGATCGGAGCAACAGCTGCTATTGTGGAATCATAGAC